TAAACCTCACTGTCCTTAAAACACCACCTCCTTTCAACTTCTACACAACAGAATGCTCTGCATTTTAGGCTTAGATCCAAGGTTTTTTCCACCTGGCATCCCTGTAATGAGACCAAGTGTCAGGTGTAAGCACATAACAGTCAAATAAAGCTCACATCTCCTTTTCAGCTCCTTCATGATTGGTATATACCTGGTGGCCAACCCTGACAGACAGCTCTGCACAACAGTATTAGCCTAGGTTTTGATTTTTGTCCACTTTCTTCAAGCTCAGCTATGAATTGGCTAAAGTACATTATTACAGTTTGTCAAAAGGGTAGAAATTCATAACTGGAAATAAAAACAGAACAAGATTACATTCTGCCAAGCTTATTACTGACATTCCCCATCTGTCAAAAACTAAAAGGAAATCATTGCCATGGCTGTTTTTTCCGCAATAACTGGAGAAGAAACAGACAGAATGAAGAGAGAGCTCTGTATTTAAATCCATAGCAAATACAGCCATAATCAGATAAAAGATTAACACAATGCTCTTGAGAGAAATTCCATCTGGTTCACAGAAAGGAGTTCCAATACACAAGAAAATAACAAACAAAAAGGAAAAAATAAGGCAGCTGTAGCCTAAGTGAAGATGGCTTGTCCAAATCTGCAAGTTACTGTCACAGGATTTTCAAGAACTGCACAGGTACATGTAGTCAGTTTGGCTCAACAAGACTGGACAGTTCAATACCTAAAACAATGCAAAATTCCATACCTAGTTAGTTAGTTCAAACTCAGTGCCTGACATTTTAAAAACTGACATAAATGTCACATGTGCAGTTCAGCGCTCTCTCTTGAACACTCAACAGAGGGTTACTGGGGTCTCTGCATAATTTTAAGTCCCAGAACCAGAACAGCCTAAGTACAGCCACTTGATTTAAAGAAAAAGGAACTCTGTTGTAGCTCCACAGCAACCTGAAGCTAGCGTGGACCCTTCAAAGTCTTCCACGGCTCTTTCAAACACATCCCTGCCATTCATTCCTGAAGGTATCAATCTTTTCACCTAGTTTAAATTCTGAAGGAACGTGCAGCAGGTAAAAAAAAAAAAAAAACAAAACCAAAACAAACACACAGAAGGTTTGAACAGTCATGCTCTTGTTAGTGCAACCATTACTTCAAGCTGGACAAATATAATAAACTTGAGAGAATATTTCACTCTCTTGAATGCTCAAGTATTCTGTGTTGCTCTGTGTCGTGGGTTAGGTTGAACCGCCCCACACACACACACAGCCGGTCACTCCCCCTCCCCCACCCCCAGGAATGAGGAAGAGAATTAAAGGATAAACGTGAAACACGTGGGTTGAGATAAGAGTGATTTAATACAGATGATTTAATACAATGTAGGTGCTCACCACCCCCTCGTACGCGAAGCCCGTCTCGTCCCGAAAACTGCAAATCCCGGACGAACGCGAGGCCCCGAAATAGAGAGGGGCAGAGAGGGAGAGATAGTACTCCGAGAGTGGGAGTACTGGGAGAGAGAGAGGAAAGAAAAAAAAAGAAAAGCAATAGAGCGAAAAACACAGCAAGCGCAAAAGAGCAAAAGCGGCAAAAGCGCAAAAGCCAAAGCGCAAAAGCCCTTCTTCCCATCTGACCCTCGCTTTTATACTGGGCATGACGCTGCATGATATGGAATACTAATTGGCCAGTTTGGCCCTCAGTCTTAAGTTCCACACAAATCACAAGGGGAATCGTGTCCCCCTTGTCCCAGCTATGCTCCCCCCTTATCCCGCCGTGCTTCTGCACTCCGGCACACTGAAAAGTCCTTGGCAGCTTGTTACCAGCGTTCTTCTCAGAGTGAGCCTCTGAGTAAAATCAAAACATGGAGCTTTTCTTGCTGTTAAAAAAAAAAACAAACCCCTCTGTCCCAGCTAAAACTAGGACACTCTGTAAGCTGGAAAAACATACTTTAAAGCAGTCAGTTTACTCTCTGTGTTTTTCAACTGTCCTGAGGACAATGAAAATTTTCCAACCAAGCTTACCCTCTATGTATGATCCCCTCACAAAACCTGAGTATTTCTCCTTCTCAGTCCACAATCTTCTGAGTTTCATACTGTACTTTCTGTGTCAGCTCTGCCTCTTTTTCATACCTTTATTGCCATCCCCATGGATGCCATTTTTACTAGAAATACTACATAAGCAAGCAGTACAGATCTGTAAGAGTCAATCTATAAAACTAATGTAAGAATCTAACAAGCACACTACCTACGTACATTCCAGCATTTCAGGTTTTGCTCTGTCAAGCTCTAGCTGGGACACACAGATGAAATGCCCATTTGTGGCATGCATCTTCCAGTTCATTCAAGCAGAGTTAAATCCACACAGCCCAAGACCGCTCCAAAAACACAAACTAAAACATAGACAAATTCACTTTGAAAGAACAGTTCCAATCCAAATCAAAATACTGAAGCATATGTACCTCTTGATTATTTTTTAAATCCTTAAAAATTGAATAAATAAATCAATAAATACGATACATGAGCTTCCTCAATCAGTAATTTTCCATGTCAAGCTTTTTTTTCAGCAGATTATTGTTTAATACCTATTTGTTGTCTCTAATTTGAAGCAATGTAACAGAGGAATTATCTGCAAGATGAGACAGAAATTCCATCAAAGATCACTAAAATTTACAGTAATAACCCAGTCTTCCTGAACTTATAAGCCATATGTAGCTTCTTCAAAATTCCCCCTATTGCTTCCCAACCCACTCTCCACTCCATTCCGACCTCTGTAAAGCTGGAACACTTTCCAAATACACCTCAGGGAGTTTACAAAGACATAACAGGTGTCGCCTAGCTCATTCAGTTAAGTGGACACTACAGCAATTCAATTTCAAACCATACATCATCTTCTATCTACTTCAGGTAAATCATTTCCACTTTCCATGAAAATTAAAAACGGTGAAGTCCTTGGGTTGCTTACAGGCTTTAGTTATTTAACTAGAATTGATTATTTGGAGAAACAGAAGAGACTAAGATATCTTCCAGTGAGTATCTCAGATCTGTTAGCAATGTCAAGCCAGAGAAATAACAGACTGCAACTCAAGCGAAGGAAATTAATGGCACAGGGGCTGAAGTTTACCTTTCAGCAACAAACTGACAGGTGCTTTTAAGAGCTAGAAGAGGGCAACTAATACGCAGTTCTCCCATTTCCTGAAGGTTCAGTGATGTCTTAACAGACACAAACTGGGGAAAAAGAAAGTTTTCCTTCAATTATATTTTTCACATATTGAGTTCAGCATTTCCTGACAGGTGTCTTAAGCTCAGTACTACTCTTCCCATCATTCAAGCATCAATGTTTGGTTTTCATGGTACTGCAGGACAAAACAAAGTTAGCACAACTAAACTGTTTAGCAAGCTCACTTTGTGGCTACCTTTGCAACAATTCCATGGTTCTGCCCTCACTTGGAAATCTTCTTACCTTCCTGAAACACGTACATCTGCAAGTCAGATTCCAAGAAAACAAACAAAA